CGTATTCATCGAAGAATGCAGAAAGAATGCGGTGATGTAACTTAGTATTTGCCCACCTGTATAGGGTGCGGATTCTTAACTGCCAGCCTACCACGCCCCTCGTAACCCCCTAGTGTTTAGGGTCAGTGGTAAGCTGTGTGCTTAGGTATGAAGTGTGGTGTCAGTTACGCAGTCTCACGTTTGATTGGACTGTGACAGCATGCAGGTACACCAGGTGTGATCTCACCTGAAAAAGGTAGGCAACAGACACAATGGTTCTACCGAGCTTCTAAACAGCCTGACAGTTTTGAAACTGCACAGTAAAGCAGGGCGTGTTTGACAAGGTTTGTCTGGTAATTATACACTTGCAGAGAGACTGATAATTAGGAGAGTTAGCAAGTCGGGACATGCTGTGTTCTACTGTTTACTCTATTACAGGTGTAGCACTCATTGATGGTTAAGTACGTGGAAAGGTAAGCTGAAAACTGCTGTGTTCCTGCAGTGTAATCTTCTAGAAGTCTACTTACCGGTACTACAATGTAGAGAGACTGATGACTGTGTTTAGGGAGTACTAGTATATCAGTGTACAGGTAGGAGTGAAAGATTGACTAGATGACATCCATGCTTTTTTGGAAGGTTCCATTATCTTCAGTTCAGGCATTTTTTTTGGAAGGACCCATTTTCCTTACCAGAACTATAGAAGGACACATTTCATACATGTATCCAGATGATGCATTTCTAGAAAAGATGTAAGATGAATCCGTAATATTCTTTGTTTTCCAGTGTTCTTTGATAGAGTAGTCACCCAAGGTCTTGTGTTGGTTTGTAGTGGCAAGCCCTGTTCTCTCCAGCGGAAAAGCAGACAGCTATTTATGCTCTGTAAACTCTTATAGCACTGTTCAAACTTTGAAACAGAAGTGCCATGATCCCAGACTCTGTGAACATAGTTGCACACCAGACTGAATGCTGGGAAAACGTGTCTGTAGTACCCGTCACAGGTGGTTGGTCCTCGCTAGTTTACAGAAGTGCTGGTGTGTGAAATAACTGAAACAAACTGGAGGACCACATTGTGTTGATATATACCAGATAGGGTACTCAGTCTACTGGCCTGTTTGTAAAGATAAGACAGTATTTGTTTTGATGCTGCTCTCAGTCTTTTACCACAAAGAAGTCTTTGTTTTCTTGGTCTCTGTCCTCCTAAAGTTGTAAGGTCACCAGGGTTGGACAAGTCCCATTGCCCACTTGCCCAGGGCAAGTAAAAGCACTATTCGGGCAAGTGAATATCCCTCTGTACTTGCCCGATTGGGCAAGTACATTTTTGGGATGTGGCATTATGCCCCAGTGTTTGGAGCAAAATCTCTCATCATTTTCGCGTAGTGTATTCACATAATATGATTTTTTTGTCAGAGAACCATTTGCAAGTCTCAAACCTCCTTACTTTGGGAAATGCTGGTCAGGCATAGAGCAATATAGCATGCTTTTTTTACTGAAAAAAATTTCCTTGCGGTAAAAATGTACGTCACTTATATTTTGCATTGGGCAAGTGAAAAGTTGGTTCGGGCAAGTAGAAATGACCATGTACTTGCCCAATAGGGCAAGTGGATTTTTGAAAACTTGTGCAACCCTGGTCACTGAATAGTGAATACCTGCTTTCTCTTGCATGAATAAGATGTACCTGTGAGATCTTGATGTAAGCTCTAGCTTCCTCTGTAAGTAAAAGTGACAGACTGTGTTGAATAATGGTGGGATCACAAGGACTGTGTAACAGAAAGGTTTCCAGGATTTTCAGATTATGGTGTTTGTGGAACTAAAGATACTGTAATTAACTTTATCTTTGCAGTAGCAGAATTTCACAATCTGAGGAAAATGGACATATTCAGGAAGGCAGTAGGTGCAGGGAGGGGGAATAAAGGCAAATGATTTGATAACAGTTATGATAGGTTCACAATACAAAAGTTACTGTGAAAACAGTGAACATAAAAGTACTGTGAAAAAATGAGGAATTACAGTAACTGTGCCAGGGGATCTGTGGTAGGTACAGGTGTATCAGGTTGCAGGTGACCCCAGCCTGATAAACATCATTCTGTGAAGGGAGATCTATGAAAACATGTAAGTGTGCTCAGTACACTATAATCTTCTCACATGTACAAGGACTGATACCAGCACTATCTAGGTCAGGCTTCCCTTTTCAGACATACCAGTAATCAGACAGTGCAATCTACTGTCTGACTCAGAGAAGCAGTTTTGGGGAGGGGGTGTGGCACAAGGTCTAAAGTAGCCCAAGGCTAACCCTTCCTGTATCAGTACTCGGAATACTAATGGACCTCACACTTGGACAGAAAATTAGCCCAGTCCCAGTCCAAATCCACAAGTTTAGACACTCCATTTGGTGCCATGTAGGTGTATATACGACGAAAGCCCTCACAAGTTAGCTTAAGTTACGCCGACTTTAGACTGACGACGGTATTCGATCGCACGACAATCGTTGTGGGCGACAGCTGGCTTTAGACACATGACCATAAAGCGTGGCGGACACCCGCAGCGCAGGATGGCACGCCGCGCGCCAATTCAAAATGGCGAGAGAACCCCTTTTTTCGGCATGCTACAGCAGATTGTTTTTATCCTGCTTTTAACTCGTTGTCCTGTGGATGAGACGCGGAGTTTGTGCCCAGCAAAGAAGGGGTATGAGGCACATGTACCGAGCGGGGAAATACTCCGGGTTTGAACCAGGCGTTTGGTGCTGCCGTCGGCCTGGCTACTAGTATATTGGCCGGGAAATGTGGATCGGCGGATCGGTTCGTACTGGAGAAGTAGCGATTGGTGGCAGGGGATTGTACTAGACACGTATGACGATATAAAGTCTTTGGTTTGACGACATTTAATGATACAGGCGATGTGCTTGGACATGAAATAACGCTTGCAGGCTTATTTGCATAAGGCCAATGACCTCCCACTTCCTTCGCCGGCGACGGTTCACTTTAGACGATGGAAAATCCTCCTCGGACCCCCCGCTGAAGGATCGCACGATAGGGTCCGAGGTGGTAGTGACGACGATTCGAGGATTACCGTCGTGCGACTATTTTGATCGTGTTTAGACAGTGGTAAAATACCGTCGCCGGCAACATCTTGACGATAAACATTCGTACGACTATCGAACCGTCGTCAGTCTAAAGTGCCCCTTAGGGGTTTGCATGTGTGGCATACCCATGCCAACTAGCCTGTCCACACCTCCGTCCAGATGTGATGACTTTACCTGTAGTTCAACTGTGACTTCTTTTCGTGAAAAGGCTCCCTTTTGTGAAACCGTTGACTCGTAAAGAAATGGTCACTGGCAGATCATGCCATTGAGTTCCAGACAGTAGCAGTTTATTTTTCCAGTCTGGAGTAAGCCTTTGAGGTCATTGTTTGAACTTTATTGAGCAAGTTATGACTGATACTGATAGTTGGTGTACCACAGTACCACAGTACCTATGCAAAACGAAGGGGAATGGTAAGTCCATATGCCGCAGAGCCTAAGGTCATGTACATTCAAATAATACCTGAGACCTTGCGAAACTCCAGCTTAGAATGATGTAATTATTGGCTCACAAAAGTCAGAACAACTCAGCTTACACCTCAAGTGCCAAGAAATTCAGGAAGCTAATTGAGACCTTGACAAAAGTCGTTTATCCAAGAGTTGGCAATGATTAACCATTTGGTTTATGTTTTACATTGAGCATTGTACCAACAGTGCTGCTTTCATCAGCCAAGACCATTGCCTAGACAGAAATCTGAGGCAGACAGTGAGACTCCAGACCACCTGTATAAGACCCACCTGTCCACAGAGGACACTTTTGCCTCTGAACTTGACCTTCCATCAAGATCTAGACTGTGCTATGTCATGGTTAAAGTACTTCTTATATGCTCTTTTTCCAGACGTCTCTATGTACAAGCTTGGCAATAAGTCCCTTCTGTTGATACCAAGTGAAGTCCTGCATTTTCTGGGTATTAAGTCTTTAGGAAACAGATTATTTGCAGGTTTAGTCCAGCTATAATTGCCCAGCTGGCTTTTAGCAATGCCTGTGTCATTAGCGTCAGTGAGTCGCAAGCACCCAGCCTTGTTAAAGAGGTTTCGAGCGGAGGAAATTTCTGCAAGCACTTTTCTGAAAAGTCCTGTTGATACAGATGTCTGAAAGTTGTTTGGTGTCGTTATAGGAACTTCAACTTCCTTTCCTGTTGACTTCTGGCTTTGTGGTCTATTCAGCCACAATTGCGCTCACTGAATGGTACAACGGTGCAGGCTCTTTAGAAAGTTAAAAGGGTTTAGCATTCCTGAAGTGCCAGAATGTGGAAAAATGCCTTGTATGTGTGCGGCACTACAGCGGGGCAATGGTGCTTGACTCTGGTATTAGGGAGGAGCGAGAAATTCCTTTCCTTACATGTGATGTTTTGGAGAGTTTTGGGAATCAATAATATCAAAGAGTTTGGTAGTTACCAACTCACCTTGCTGTAAAATTAGAACCTAGGTTTGACCTGATTTACATGCAGGCAAATCCCTGACATTATGTACAGTTAAACTTAAACTGTGTACGCACGTGAGCCTGGCATTCAATTGGAACATATATTATATATGATTGACATTTTGTAATACGCAAAATTCTAAATCACTCCTTCCATGGAGATTGTTGCAAGCTACCTCTGGGTAAGGGGTTCTTATTAAGAATTCAAATGTCTAACAGAATATGGGCTGATCTCTTTGAAAATGGCAGTTTCCTATACTGGCAATTCCCCAGTTTATGTGTGCTCCATATAACCCTTGTTTATGAAGGGTAACAACAAAAAGCAGGATTCAATCAGGCTTCAGTTTTAATGGGAAGTAATTTCAGCATGCTTAACGTTAGCTTCATCTTTATCGGCATGTGGCAGGTGGAAATCACTCAGGCAAATAATTTCATCCAATCACTTCACTAGACTAGTTTGGCTATAGTAAAATCTTTCACTGTGCCATGTATCTGATCTCTTTGTCTTTTTTTGTTTTGCAGACTTTGAGCATCAACTGATGAAGTAACCTACCGGTCTCCAACATGGATACCTTCGCCACCTTGCGTATCGTCTGGGTAACAGTCATTTCTAGCATCCTGCTATGCAATGTCTGCAGCGGACAGAGATTCGAGAGAACATTCCGTGTGCCCAGCACTGAGGGCAGTTTCATCAACTTCGTAATGGACCCAGACACAAACTCCATATACATCGGAGCTAGCAACAAGATACTGAAACTAAGTAGGGACCTTGTGTTGGAATATGACGTAAGCACGGGACCTGAGCCGGACAATCCGGCCTGTCTGCCTACTGGGGAGTGTACGTACGGCCGGCAGGTGACAGACAACATCAATCAGGTGCTTGTGGTTGACACCAGCGCCAACAGACTGATCTCCTGTGGAAGCGTATTCCAAGGCAGCTGCCAGCTGAGGAGAAGGGACGACCTGTCCCTCATCGCGTATCCCAAGTCCGAACCTCATCATTTCATTGCTGCTAACAGTATGGAGGGGTCAACGTACGCATTCATCGCACCCGGACCGTCGGATCAGGGCGAGGTCCTGTACGTTGGCGTGTCCCGAACAGACCGAGGTTTGTTCAGCAACCCGCCAACTGTATCCAGCAGAACAGTAGCCGCAGACAGCAACAACATCAACATCTTCAAGTTTGCCTCGTCGGACGAGTTTTCCGAGCCGAAGATCGACATGAACCCAAACGTTCTCAGCAGTTATCCGAGATTCAACATCAAATATGTCTATGGCTTCAGTAGTGGATTTTACAGCTACTTTGTGACAATACAGCCTCAGAGTTACAATATTCCAAGCGGGCCCCTTCTGTCCAAGATAGTGAGAATCTGTCACGATGACAACAAGTACCACTCCTACATTGAGCTCCCGCTTATGTGTTCAGCCAACTCGGTGAACTACAATCTCGTTCAGGCGGCGTATGTTGGTAAACCGGGTGCCATCCTGGCCGGGAACATGGGAGTTACCCCAAACGACGACGTGCTATTCGCCGTCTTTTCCAAAAGCCAAAGTTCGTCGGATAATCCGACCTCGTCCTCTGCCCTTTGTGTATACACCATCAAAGACATCAACAGGGCCATGAAGGCGCGGATACAAGACTGCTTCAACGGGAACGGGAATCTGGGAATAGACTGGAGTACAGGGACACTCAGCACTGGGTGTAGACAGAGCGTAAGTCGCAAGGGACCTTTTGATAGTATACTTTAATCCCGTAATTAATCATTTTCTTAAATGAAAAGTAGATGCATTTTATACACTGTACAAAGGCTGAAACTAAAGAGCAAAGTTAATTTTTGCTTTTCTTCCGACAGTGAGGAATAATAAATCAGCAAAGATCGATCATTGACATTTACCAACTTTGATAGAGAGATCAATACAGGTACATAAAAGGTAAAAAGACAATGTATTGATCAGTCAGCAGTACTTAGAGAATCAGAATACCCTTTGGTCATAATCTCATTTTTTCCCTTTTCATACAACTTAAGTCAGCAGTAATTCTCAATTAATATATGTATTTATGTATTAATATATCTGTATTAGAAGCCCAGGGGGATTTGATGAGCCTCCTAAGATTAGCAGGTTTAGGGACTGTCTGTTGTGATATCAGTAATACTTTGACATATATGTGTAGATCAGGGGTGAAGGCCAATCAATAAATGCCTGAGGACCGTAAAGTTTTGGTTTGGATTGAAAATGTCAGGAGCACAAATGCGTGGCGTACAAAACAGCTGCTGTATACAGTACATGCATCTCTGTCATGGTCAAGGTTGTATACTAAATTACATTCAAAGGAAATTCTACCTGTGGTAAATGAGTTTGACTCCAAACGTGTCGTGTTGAATCCCAAAATTTCAGGTCCCACAGTTAGGTGAAATTGTCAAAGGCTGACAATTTCAATTGATGAACAGCAAGCTTTATGGAATTGTTGGCCTTTTTCCAAGATATAGTAATTAAGCTGTTGGTATATTTTCTGTGGGGTGACACGGTAGGTTGGGTTATGGACTTTTTTTCTTCAGTTTGTTCCAATCTCTTTATCATGGAACGCTTCAGGGAAAACAACTCTCAAAAGCTTATAAGCTTTACGTAGGCCTGTCCCAAACAGACCGAGGTTTGTTCGGCAATCCACCAACTGTATCAAGCTTATAAGCTTTTGAGACTTGCTTTTAGTATAATATCATTCCCCTAGGCCTGTCAATGTCTGGAATAGTTGCCAAAATGGCACAGTGTATAAATTGTCATTCTTTCATAGATAACAGTCTGCCTTCAAAAAGATTTCCAAGATATAGAAATTTTAGTCAGTGCAAATCATGGCTGAAACAGAATATTGTGGGTTTGTTAATAGAATGTGATATAAGAATCTGTTATTTGTCCTAACCCTCCACGTTGAAAGAAGATTGAAATCCACTTTTCCCATTTAGATAAGTGTTTACATACACATGTAAGTGTTTACATATACATGTAATTGACAGGTAAATCTATGATTTGAAAATTTTCTTCAGAAATTTTAGAATTTTTTCCTGCAGGAAGAATTTTTTCCTGCAGGAATTTCTGCAGGAAAAAAGCTTAATTGCTGTAGAAATAATTTTTGCTCATTGTATCAGTGAATGTGCTGACAATAATTTTGTTGTTCAAATCTGATCTTCCTCAACAGGGAACCACCTCGTAGTTTACTTTGTTTTTTCTCTACTGTACAGAATTTACCTATAAATGATGACTTCTGTGGGTTTGAGGTGAATCACCCCATGGGTGGCACCATGCCGATACCTGCCCAGCCAGTCTACTCCACTAACTCTGCAACGTTGACGGCTGTCACATCACTAGAAGTCCAAGAGTACACCGTGGTCTTCCTTGGCACCAACAGAGGACATCTAAAAAAGGTAAGCCTTGGTGATACAGAACATATTGATTAATTTATCCCATATCTACATCACATTATCAGGTTCCTACATGCAGTATATTATGTATATCTAGCCTGGGTGCCAGACCGTTGCCAGGGCCAGTACACTGCACAGGCCAGCTCCAGGGCCAACATGCCCAGAAGGAAATTTTACCATACACACCCCTCAGTTAGACCCACAGAGCTCTGACAACAGTCTGGCGTCCAGGCTAATAATGTACATCATGGATGCTATAAGTGCTCATCTGGGGTTCCAGACTAACTTTTTAAACACTGGTGCTCCCAACCCGAAAAACTAAGTGCACCATCATGTTTTTGTACAAAAGAAGTTTGAACACGTGGAAGTATCATAATCAGAGAGCATGAAAGCAAATTTATGACTGTTAAGCTTTGCAGTCTAATGAATGGTTAATCGTAATAAATGATATGATATAGACATTAAAGTGCATGTAATTTTGATGGGAGCTCTGGGTGCTGCTATGAAAAATTTCTTGATATCACATGGAAGCAGTCCGGAGGGCTTTCATCTTTCACCCAATATGTCCTTGGATGAACTCTCTGTTCGCTAGCAAGAACAATCATGGGTCTTGGAATGTCTCCCTCCACATGATTAGTGAAAAGGTTATGGTTTGGAAAGACAGAGGGTTTGACTTTGGCTTTCTACACTCGTACAAATCCACTTTATCCATCCCCCCAAAAACTCTGCTGATGGGATCAGCCGTGGTGTGCCAATTTACCCTGGGAAGCTGCCCTTCTTCTGGGGCATCGTGTGACCTTCTCTTCTAACTGTCAGAGCACAGCAGCCACATCCGTAATCCAGCTGGAGAATGGCTCTGCTGATGTCAGGATGCAGCAGGGAACTTGGCAGAAGTGAAGACTGTTAGACTGTGTCTTTATTACCAGGGGGACCCTACAGATAGATATAGACATATGACTGCAGACAAATTGGTTTGTCCGAGTGCCAACAGTTTCATCTGTCTACCTCCCAATCAGACTAGCCAGTGTATGTGGTCTGTTGCTCTTCATTTTGGGGAGACCAGGAAGGTTGGCACTTTGCATGCAAAATATGAACCTTTTTTGTTGAGTTGTCACAATTTTTTGTCCGAATTCTGAACGAAGAGCATTTGACATAATGTGTTTTTTCACAACTGTCATCTATGAAGACCAGTGCCATCAGTGCTGTATGTGCATTTTACCACTGCCTTCCATTAGGTAACATGTGAATGAAATATAGCAGGAAACTGAAAGCAGAAAATGAGGTGACCTTGGATAACCTGTTCAGTTTCAGGATGTTTTTTTGCAACCGTTGACCTAACTTCCTGTCAGTAGTCACAATGATAAGTACTTCCTCCCAGCCTGCAGGGAGGCCATTTTGACCTCCAATTCAACCTTTCTGTCAGTCTGCATGTCGCCATTTCTCCTTCACTTTCTGTGATTCCACTATGTTCAAATGACTATAGGCAAACAAACAAACAAACAAACACACCGAAAACAAATCCTCCAGCTAGAATTACGGAAAGAATTTCAAACACCTGCACTCTGAAATTTTGGCAAGGAAATTGTAACAACTATTCCCCCTTCTTATCGTATAGTATTCTTTTTATTCTTCTATTCGTCTGAAATTCATAAAACACACCATCCAGTTGAGTTCTGCAGAAAGGTGCTTCGTTCCAGGAGGTTTATAATATCTCCAAGTTGCCATGTTATCAAGTGTGTTTGAGAATCCCCTGTTCACAGCATTAGACGTGCATCAGTGCACACTGCTGGTCCACGGAGGGGAGGGGAGCATGTTATTGGGCAGGAGCAATTTGCCTGGCAATGAAGCTTGGGAACAGGCAGGCAGGCAGTGAATCATTAGGCAGCGTTCAATTGCATTCTGACATTAGATAGGGTTGCTGGCTGCATTTGGGAGGAGACGCCGGATAGAGCCGGTGACAAATAAGTCAAGCCGTTAATTGAAAAATTGTCGCAAGCGAGAAATTCGCCTCGCGTACTGCCATGAATATTGCAGTAGATATGGAAGCAAATGAAGTGTAAAATGTCGCGAATCGTGGCAAGAGGGCCTGTACACACACACACGCATACATGCATGTAATAAGAACTTATTACTCAGTCTAAATGGAGAAGAAATCTGGGGGAAATTAGCGAAGTAATATTCGTTAGTAGCCAGAAGACACATGGTCTCGTCAGAAGACAGAGGTAATGTGGAGACGTAAGTGGTTTTTCGCAGACATCCCGGCTCGGCGGAGACAGTCTCTCCTGTATAATGGGCTACGTGGTGGCATTAATTCTGCTGGGATGGAAGCCTTTATCAGTGTCCCTCATGCATGCGCTTCATTAATGAAATGTCTAAGAATTATTGTATGGTCTTAAGAGATAAAGGAGGTTTGGAAGATAAAGGTATAATGTTGTCAACTTAGTGTTAAGCTAGGATTAGTACTCTCTGGCAAAGAAACAACATTTGCATTGCCTTGTATGGAAGAAAAATGAACTTGATGATCCACAATGCTTTTACAACACATGAAAAATAATTGGCAAAACTATCTTCTGATCAATCTTAAACAGCATTCTAGGCTACTACTTTTTGTTACCAGGTAATTTTAGGTGGCACAGATTGTCCATCTGAATATTAAGTGCACTTCCTGTGTTGAAAGGGTTCTTTGCAGTACAGTGCTATCACACTCATGAAAGATGAAGAGCCCAGCTAGTAATTGCAGTGGTTTGGTTTGTGTGTAATCTCTTTCTGGGCTGGAGACTGATTGTAATGACATGCCCATCTGGTAATGAATGTTTGAATTACCGGGTAAATGCCGCGAGTTGTACTTGTTCTGCACATTATTTCCATTCCACGCCCCTTAATCTTGATAGACTTTGACTGTGACAAGCTGTTTTTCTGCAGAAATGCAGCCATTAGCCGAGGGTGCAAACTCTCTGAAGAGAATGTTCTTGAAGTTGCTCTCCTTGGTGCTGAAATGGCTTCCACTTGTTGTCGTCTAACACATGGGCCCAGCTTGAAAGCGTTATGGCCCATTTTCAGAAGTGCTATACCACAGCACTTCTGTGTCACCCTTTTTACACAGCAAAGTCACTCTAACTCCCACTTAGCCATCACACATATCTGTAAAAAAAAAAATCAAATCGTTAAAAGGCAGGGCAAAATAAGAATCATTTGAAATGATGCTATAGATTTCTAGGCCTCAGATGATTAAGCTATTTGTCCCTTGGGTATAGGGGAGAATGATATAAGTAGAGGGATAATGATAGTAGAGTGAGCAGGAGTAATAGAGGTGATTGGTAAATTGACCTATTTTGTGATGTTATGGTGCTCATTAGAAGTTGTTGAACCAGTTAATTTTATTGGGATTCTCGAATAATGTACAAGCATTTGAGTTAGACAAAACAGTGCTTTTGACAATGTGTTCTGTCTCAATTATAATTTTTTTTTGCAATGAAACAAAAAAACTTTTACTACACTTACAGGTCTTCCTGTTTGACCCCACAACACATGCTGGAATTTACACGAAAGTTTTTCAATTTATTAGTCCCAGAAAAGTCCCACAAATTTCTTTTGACCAGAAGAGTAGTTCATTAACTACATACATGCATGTGGGATAGTGGAACTAACTGCCAATTCTGTCCTCATTCCATGTGCAAGTTACTGAATAGATTCCTCCCCTAACTACTAATTGGATGTCCCTGTATTGTAGATGGACTGGATTAACTGTAGTTGTGAGGCAGAAATTGGTTTCAGTCAGACAGGAATTAGGTTGTCTACAAGTTTTTGCCAATGGAAATTATATATTGATCACGCTGACCACCAGCGAAGTCAGGTTGGAGTGAGAGTGTTTATGGCTTTGGATTGAAGTGAAATCATTGGCAGGGTACCTGTATATGTGTTATGGAATAATGTACTTGACTCATCATCATACAAAATGTGCTGCACCAAATCAATGTACATTTGTTACTTGCAAGTTATATCATCATAATACAAAATGTGCTGTACCAAATGCATACATGTATCTTCTGTTTGGGCTCTCTTATTTCTGGTTTCTTCTACATGGTGGTTTATATACTCTTGGAGCAATGTTTGTAGACAGCCTATTCTTAAATGGCATCTTTTGATATGCTACCTATCCTTTGGCATATATTTGGAAAAAAGGATTTGAACAACCCATCATAGCTCTGTAATAATACTGTAATCACATTCAGACTGGAGACATACAGGGATAAAACGTCATCCATATCTTTATCGTGAGCATCAATGCTCACAATGCTTCTTCACATAACAGAATGCAGTTGTGTATGGCCCATTATATGACACTGGTAACTGTGAAGGAGATTTGCCTTCCTTCTCTTTATGAGTCTCTCCCACTTTGAACAGAAGTCGAAGCGCTCTTTGCTGATGCATTGCGGTTTTCTCAGATGTAGACTTGATGACGAGTGACTTAATGGTAACGGGCTGGCCGGCTCATCTAGAGAGGTGATGGATTCCGTGACCGTTCTCACAGTTCCGACCCTGTGACCTAGTTTTACCGCAATTTGTATGTAAAGAGTTCATCAGGAGTCAGCCTGAAGGATGAATCTAGAATTGGCGGCCCTTCAGGTGTTTCTGAGATAGTCAGGGTTCTCACCAGGCAGGCTGTTTAAGCATAGGGGTCCCCTATGCTGTGATTTGGACCCCCTATACTGTGATATATATACATTAGCCCCGTACACTTGCTTTCAAAGGGGTGTTTCTTTTTGGAGAGAACCATGTGACCCCTTATTTTTGAAAATTTAAGTTTGACTTAAAAATAAAGCTATAACAGAGCAAGGAGGATCAAAAACCTCCTTGAACAGAGGGAAAACGTAACATCACAAAATTTGTCCCTCAATAAGCAGAAAAATAGAAAATCAGACGATTATCAGTTAAAAATTTTTCAGGGAGGATACCAAACCCATCTTTGGGACTCAATGCACGGCTTGCGATGCGATAAATTGTTTTTCAGTACCTGACCCCTGCGCTGTGAAAAAAATTCAGCAGAGCACCCTGCTAGTTGTTGGTGTCCGCCCATACAAGGATTGATGGCACTAGCCTTCAGACAATTCCATGATAAATTGGTTTGATGACTTCAAGATCTAATCATGGATACATTATGGAATCCTGCAGGCATCGCAATGAAGGATGTTTAATCATAGATATCTCATAAACATTGAACTGCCAAAGATTGCTTTCGGGCTGGAGATAAGAGCAATGATAAAACATGTCATATAAGAGAAACTAAAGATACGGAGTCGGTGGCTAGAGGTGAATTTGCAATTAGAGGTATGAAAAGGTGAAATATAGCAGACACACTGTGAAACAGCCCATTTTTTTTCCTTTCTAGTATCTGGTAATCGTATGGAAACCCAGAAAAATTTAGATATTCATGAGCTTGAGGAAAAGCATTGGTGCATTATCATGAAGAAAATTAAACTGTTCTCCAACTCAAAAAAGAAATTAATTCACCAGAAATTTTCGACTGAATCACTCATTGGTGCATATATTGTTTTCAATAATTATCACAGTGCATTTAGAATTACATTAGAAAAAACATCAGCAGTTACAATTTACAAACAAGTATAGTTATAGATTCTAGACTGTATGCAGAAATATGTTACATTTTGCTGGAGGAACTTTGTGCCACAGTCTGCTAAATATCTAACTGTTCCTTTTTTTAAGGTCAAAATATAGGTCACGAAAATGGGACACATCAACCATTGCAGACATTCAAATTGCATATCTTCATGTGGCATCATCGGGTTGAAATGATGTTATCATTTTATGCGTCGAGCTCAGAAATATATATGAGGGGAGTTTGATGGCAGAAATTAGCAGGATCAGTCCCCTCCCAGGCATAAATGTCCCAGGGAAGATAAGGAGCCACTGACTGAGATCCATCTGAAGTGGGCAGCTCAGTTTTATCAGTGTTCCTCAAGACATGGATAGATTGCCTCCCCTGTGGGATGTCTGGGTGACCCACTTCAGTCTCCTAGTAGTCCTAATGTACGTAGTTCCTTAAGTATCCTGTCAGAATGGCTGTATCATAAACTGATTTATTCCAGAATCTTTGTGACCTGGAAGAAAGAATTGCAATAAATCCAAGCATCAGCATGCATAATGTCTAATCCTCTGGAGACGGGGAAGAACTGATGTTGAACAGGTACATGTAGTAAGTGAGAGAGAGAGAGAGAGTGAGTGAGTGAGTGAGTGAGTGGGTGGGTGAGTGAGCGAGTAAGTGAGTGTGTGAGTGAGTGAGTGAGTGAGTGAGTGAGTGAGTGAGTGAGTAGATTTAGTATACATTGTGTGTACATGTTTCATTCATATATTATGATATACTGACATTGGTCAAAATTATATGTCAAAGGTACATGTACTTCAATCCTGTAATAATTTTCATCCACAAGCAAGTAAATTTTTAAGGCAATTTAAGCAGATGTGTCATATAAACTATTCCTATTAAAATCTAAAATGTATTAATCTACCTTATCTTTGAAAGCTAATGAACACTGTATATTAAGGTACAATATACAATAAAGATTTATGTAATTTTTCTTATAAAGATTGCATTGTAAATTTATGTTTCCAAAATGCATTATTAATGGAAATCAGAACCAGTATGTACCATAATTAAAGTGGTAAATTAAAATTGCAGTAAATTTATATAGTTCAAAGACTACCATATTACTGTACAATACAATACAGGTGTATGAAGCCCTAGCTGATAACATTGCAAGTTGCAAAGGTAGATTCCCTAAATAGTAATTATAAAAATGTTTATGGAATGCATTGAAACTACATTACTTGTACATTTCCTTAATATCAATACCAACATTTATTGTAGGCATGCAGGTAAATTGAAAGACAATGCTCTATTGCTTGTCAGCCTCCAAAGTTAGATACACTAAATAGCAATTACAAAAATGTATATGTAATGCCATTCAAACAGCCAGTGCATTTTCTTACTGATCGTTATCTGAAGTTGATTGATAGAAACAATCTTAATCACCTCATTTCGCTAGTAATGAAGCAGTGAATGTTACATGTTGGATATCCCAAATGTCATCTTAAGGCCTGACTGGGATGATAGATGGCATTGTTAGATCCCTCTGTGAACCTCTGGCCTCCCCGACGTCCCATCTTACTGACAGCTTCTCCTCTTGCTAATTTTAGCTCTGGTGCAGGGGGAATTCATGACAAATTAGTGATAAAAGTGTATAAAGGAGGAAAATGTCATAAGTTGTACTCATGAGACTCGATTACCTTGGGAGTATTCAGAGCCAAGATCGTAAGTAAGAAAAATGCAGTACTGAATTCTTTTGATTGCAACATATAATGTGCCCACACGTCATCAATCAGTAAACTTTGGTAGGAATAATATGACTTTCCTAAGGTTTCTTACCTGTACATAGACTTGTGCTGATAGTGATGCATACCGGTTCACTGGACTTGGATCCGGACTTGTAAGAATGTTCAAGTCCAAAAAAACCTAAAAGTCAAGAACCGAGTCCGGACTTGTTACCATAAAAGACCATTTCGCATACCCCTTTTCTTTCCAAACCACCTAAAACCTTCTGTAGATTGTAAAATCTTTGCTGCAAAACAAAGAAAACATTGCCATCGGGCATCGTCAAGTACCGGCCTCCATGTTATGTTGCCAAAGTTTCACCCAGACAACATTGCAGGGTTGCCAACATGCAATATTGTACATTTGTATATGCCATGGGTTTACGTCCGGACTTACAAGTCCGGAACTGAACCTAAACCTCTGGACTTGAATCCGGACCTAAACCTAAAATTGGGTTTAGGTATGCATCACTACAAGTTGTGCATGCATCATATGGTGCCAAAGGCATTCTAAAGTTTTCACCTTCATGCTTGACCAAGAATCCTTCATGAGGGATGTCAGAGCTTAGGAAAATTCACCTCATGTCAGGTCTTCTAAGAAAAAATGTATTAGGGGATTTCCCAGATTGTCTTGATATAGCCAGTTGGAGGGAGGGAAAATCATAATGGAATCAGCAGAGCAGCATCCGGTCAATTCTTCAAGTTTCTTATCTGTTTCTAATCCAACATGTCGGGCCTTAGAATTTGTCTTCCATGTAGCAATACAATCTGGCTGCTAAAAGAGAACTCCAACATTGACGGGGATTGAACATGTCAACATACTATTATACAAGTGAACCTAGTTATACATTGTACAAGAGCGTCATGCAAGGATGTCACTGAAGCACTAAAGCATACAGACTTGAACAGTGTCAAGGTAGGATGGGTGGAATGAACTGTATCCCATATATCATAGCTTACTGATATCTGTGAGGCAAAAATGTCGCTGACGGAAAACAGTTGCTAGTTTCGTATCGTAGGCTGGTTCTAGCTATTGTTGGTATTAGAAAATATAGGGATGCCTGGACTCCTCACACTTATCTTGTTTCTGGGCTATTTTACGCACTTCAAGTATGAAATGATTAAGAAAATGTACTGAGAAATGGCAGTAAATGTCAATATCAGACAGATTTCTTCATCTAGAATATTTTGTGACTTGCCACCCTGGAACTGAAAATGTTAAATATTCCACAGCAGATTCTTCCGCAATATCTGGGCCCATCTGTACTCAATCAAGATTTTTGATTATTACTCCGTGAAGGAGGTCAGGACCTCCGGACGGAGTGTTGTAATCGGCTGATTTTTCATGTTCGCAGTCAAAACACTGGGTTCTCTTTGTGTAATCGGCACGCAATTTTATACGCCGTCTGCGGGCATGCCCGTGTTGATGCACGAATGTGTATTTTTGCCGTTGCTGCTTTCGCGGTCAATGTAATATCGCAGACGCACCCCTACAATTACGAGGCGAATTGGAATGGTCCAGAAAAACGCGTTGTTTGGAATAGCAGTGGGGTTCAAAAAAGTTCATGCAGATACGGGGTGGTTTTTATAAGTGGTTCCAGATGTTTTTGCCCATGGTTAAGAGATGCCAAGTTTTTTGGAAGATGTTCGCAGCCAAAACGCATTCTTCCGTACGTCGCATTTCTGTGTAATTTCGCATGTGGTGTTGCATTATGTCCGGGATGATGCACGTCTTTTTATTTTTACCGTAGCTGTTTTGATATTGGAGTAAATGCTTATTTTCGAAACATCCCCATTTCTTTGAAATGGTTTCGTCCGTTTATGCAACTGTTACTGCGCTAATGACGACCAGTCGCGCTGTCCTGATACACCGCGAATGTGCGAGTGTTCCCTGTAGACAGTCCCGGGAGTCATTTTTTTGCACATTCCAGGAGCCAAACCAAAATACGTTCATGAACCGAGTCCAAAAACCGAAACGTGAAAATCGGATGATCGGACCTGATGTACATTTCTCTTTCTATAGATTGTACACACAATACACACATCTTTAGATAATCTGGCCATGGCAGGTTAAAAAAAAAGTAACCCTGAATCATACTAGATTAGCGTAAATGCATGTTAATGCGTTCAAAACAAGAAAAAAATTGTTTCCGGGTATTAATCTCTTGAATCACGGCGCTGAATATTGACGCAAAAATATTTCGGGCATCGCGCGCCCTTCCCGCGTCACGTGTAGGCATCTCGCATCTCTGATTGGTTGTTGCGTCTTAAGATGACTGAGCCGACGCGCGTTTAAACAATTTTTCTTTGTTCGATTTATCACACTTCACAGAGAATTGTCGCCAATGGCTACTTCTTTTTGTTGCAATATATAATACTTCACGGAGAATTGTCGCCTATGGCTTCTTGTTGTTATTATGTGTATTTTCTGTATCATCTTATTTTGTGTATTATCTGTATGTTTTTCGTTTTAGAAAGAAAATATAGGAGCAAAGAGCAGAAAACATGACATGACAGTACGAGACATTGACCGTCCTGTGTTGTGTTGCAGGTTGTGGTGACCAGTGGCACCAGTGGACATGAGTACGAGGACCTGACCGTGGTGACCAACAGCGCTGTCCTCCCCAGCATGTACTTCACACAGGACAAGAACTACATCTACGTGGCCACCCAGAGACAGGTAAGATTTAAGTCTATACCATACAAGCCTACCATGGGAGCCAGACTACATGTAGTATTGGGCTGTTTGTCGCTTTTCGTCGGCAGCCAAGAGCCCTACACCCCCTATCTACATGTAAATGGGGGAGTTGAGAGCCCAAGGGGAGTTGGCCGGCCCTACTCCCCTGGCTCAACTCAATCCCCATAGCGGTAATTTACTAGTCTGGCTCCCAGGGTATACAAGCCATCTGAGATTACAACGTTCTGGGTTATGATTATTATTTTAACACATAATGCTCACATCAACTGCTGACAATTTCAGGCATCACGTTAACAAAATGTTACCAGTGACACTACATAATTTAAAAGATAAGTGATATCACAATTGTAATACACAATACACACTTTTGTCAGGAGAAATGGCACAAAGAAGTTTAGTCAAGTGCCAGTGTATAGCATGGCCAATGTCAATGAACTTAAAATGACTCCCACTGACACATTTTGTACTTTACCCTGACCTTGAACCTTGTCATAAGCAGATTGCCACAGCAAAAAGTGAATAATGTTCAACTGAATAGTTCAAACCAGCTTGGACATACAGCAGCTATTCACTTTGATACATTGAACAGAGAAATCATGATGAGGATTCTTTGAACTTGTCCTAGTGCTAGATTTCATCCTGAATTTTGTTTGTAGTATTGCATATGCAGCCTTTACTTGAGCTCAATGAATGTTGGGCCACCAAGGCCTAGTTTAAACCCTTGAGGTATTCTCAGTGGTTTATCAATGTCAATCTTACCACCCACCAAGCCTACTTTCCATTTCCTCCTGTCCAGTTTTAAAAACAGAGCACTGATAATATCTTGTTAGGCTGTGTCTCAGCAGTTTCTTCAACTCCTGCCTTAAATTTATCCCCATTTCCTGCTGCCAGTCTTCTGCCAGGCACTTTTCTGTGGACAGCCAAGGAGAAATCTGGTAGCAGTTTCCTTGATAACAAGGCCTATTTGTGAAGTGCTAATGTAGACCAGACTAGCTGGAGAAATCCTATATTTTATGCCAGTCTCCACCAATTAACCTGATTCAACTTTTCCAACCTCCACCAGGAAAGATCAGATTTGGAACGACTTACACTTGCTAGGGGCAATTAGTCCAGTATGGGATTGAATAAAAGAGAGCAGAGATTCCTGTTAGGGTCAGGTTGAACTGATGTACCTTTGAAGTTTGAGACTCTTTTGGTCATGGTGATTTAGGGTGAGAGGGACTCCTGTTCTTAAGAACTAGTAGACTGGAACCTAGGCTCAGGCTGCTTGTTAGACTAAAATCCAGGCTCAATCAGGAGGCTTTAGATTACACACAGACTATCTATTATGCTAGACTTGAACCTGGATACAGACCAGTACAGTCAGACAGAAGACCCAGACTTGAACTCAGGCAAAGTACAGTTGAATGGCTGCTAGCTGCCAGATACTCAGCTCCATACAGACATCCTGACTTGACTGGAATCAAACTGGAAAGAAGACTTCAACTTGAAGTAAAGATGGAATACTGGTAGCTTTGCAAGCTTCCATTATTGGATACTTCTTCGGACCATTCCTCCTTGAAGTATTGAACATGTGTGACTATTCCTCCTTGAAATATTGAACAAGCATGACGGGGCCTGCTGCTGTCCTTGAGTGTGTGGTGAACCCAACTTTCAGGGGTCAAGACTGGCGAACCAGAGTGACCAGTTATTCCCTGGATGCCTTTGAAGGGAGCACTCAAGCATGGAGGGTAGCCCGGCCCCTGATGCTGTGGTCACACTACCTTCACCCCGCACCAACAAACCTGTCAGCTTCTGTATTCTCTAGAAAATTAGAATCAGATGCACAGAGTTTTGTGTTCAACATCAATACAGTTATTTGCCACACAGTAATACACAATGCCAAGCCACTCTCCCTTTTAGCGCTAGCCAAGGAGAATACATCTCTGTACCTGTACATGAACATATATATGTACATGTATATGTATACGTACATAATGTATATAACATCTTCTTGCTCTGTACATAAAGTTAAATACGGGTATTTTAGGATCATGAAAATTTCACTGAATTGTTGCAACAAAATTCCACTGAATTGTTAACTGCCATTTAACAAGTGTGCACTATGTCCAACCTGTCACTTTTTGCTTATGTGAGTATGGTCTAACAAGAAGTCAGTGCACTTTTGGTTATTACCCTCACATGACTGGAGTAAAGGGGCATAGGCTGTGTCCATACTCCATAGCTTTAATGAATATGTTATTACATTAGTATCTGACACACTGGCCTGGAACCAAAGTGGTGATGAACTGTTTTCTGCTTTTATGGCACATTACTGTAAGGCCAAAGCCTCAAGGTTGTCAGTGTTCATCTTAAGTTCAATATTGGCATCTCTCCATCTCATTAGGCAAGTTTGTCCACCTCTTGCCAAATAGAAAGATAACATTTGATCATACACTACCCATTATTCTAAAAGCTGGAGTGAAGACTATCGTGGCCAATCTCAGTTGCTGGGAATGGCTGAAACTTTTGATTACCAGACTGTCTCAGTGCCAAGTACAGGCTGCTGAATATCAGACCCTATCAATGTAGTACATTGATTATCTTTGGTGCTGTGGCTCTAAGCTGAGGTATGGACAGGACAGGTGCATGTTGCCAATAGTAGAATTCTAGATGTGAGGGGATGACTTACAATCAATGTCATACATGTACATGGGTGCAGAAAAGTCTTGTTTTCAGTAGTGTTAGGCTCCATGTGTAGGCATATGGAACTCTGGTGAGGTCCAATTAATGGACACATGTAATGATTTGAAGATTTAACCAGGTTTTACACAATGTAATTTTGGTTGATGGTAATTGTAACTTGATATCACCCAATTTACACGCTGGCAAAAATACTGATGGTATGAAAAACTGCTAATGCACGCAAGTGTACGAAGACTGCGTGCATTGAGTTTTTCCTGCGTGTAAATTGGCCAGCATTGACGTACGTCAAATACCTACGTTTAGATCGTATGTTACCCCGGAGGCTGATCAAAGCAGGCCGATTTACATGCACGAAAAAAATTGACATATGGAGTTTTCGAACTCCTGTATGCATATGCAGTTTTCGTACAGTCAGGTTTTTGCTCACATATAAATCGGGTGTACGTGTGGTCGACTGATCTTTTCCCTACCCACCCACCATGATTAACTTTTATATATATTATGATGCTCTAAGTGGAGTACAGAGAAGCCCTGTTAAATCACGAGACCCCAGTTATATCTTTGTGCTGCCTTGGGGGCTGGCTAAAGCATAACCTTTGTGACATATTCTGCCCCAAGGTCATGGCAGATATGACTTTATGAGTGGGAGGGGGGCGATTGGGACTTTGCCAAGGAAGAGCCCTACAAGGGTCAGCAACTAAGGGTCATCTTGTAGCTGTAAAAAAAAATAAATTTGCTCAATGGTTAGATGACAATAGAGTCACTGGTATATGACATGCAAAGGTTTAAACTGCATCGGATTCTGAGAATTCAAATACAGGCGGTTGATTCAAACTTGAAGGACGACCTTCTGTGTAGCTCTTGGTTAATCAGCAATATCTTATTAATGAGATGATTATAGATGCTTTTGGCCAGCTCTTGCATAGTATTACCAATGTTTGAAGTATCCCTCATCATGTTTTGATCAACATTCTTATCTTCTGTTCAAGTTTTTATGTTTGTCATAAATTATGAATTGATTACCGGAGGATTTGCCATGAAAACAGGAGACTCCCATGGCTTTGACCCCTGGTCATCACCCAGTCTAAAAGGTCAAAGGTCCTGACCTGAGGTCAGATCATAGTGATGGAGGCTGGCATTATTTGTTTTCAACGTTGTGTGTATTATGACATAGATTTACATTGTATCAATTCATATCTTAGGCTAACCTGTAAATTTGCTCACAAATCAGACACTGCAGAGTATTGTTTCTGATTTTGTATGCCCCCTTAATTGGTGTATTCATAATTCCATTGTCACATTTTTGATTGTTAATGTACATCACCTTTTTTTGTGATGATAAATTGTATAATTTGTATATCTGCCAACAACCTCATCAATTTGAAAATGTAATTCAATTAAACAACAATCATGCTAAAACTTTTAGAAGCAGTTAGAAGAAATGCCGATCTATCTATGTGTATGCATATCATTCAACAATCCAAATGTCATTGCATTAGAGTCGCCTCACCTGTAAATCCCCTGATAGGTGGGGGTATTACCATGGAGAGATGCACAGGAGAAAGTTAATGGAGGCTTCGCCAAGAGAGGGATTTCCAATACATGCTGCAAGGCTATTGCAGGGCAGAATTATCCAGGGCTTTGGCTTGTAGTATGTACGTTACAGTATCCTAATTGTTACGGCCTGAATATTATTCACCCTCAGGCAGGATCTATAAAAGGTATTTTCCTTCGAATTGTGCCTAATCTTTTATTTTGCTCCAATTGTTGTACTTTATCGACAGATGGTTTCCAGTGTTGGAAGTGTTAGATCGAATGTGAACACTCAGTCAATAGTTGGTTCTTTGGTGATTTGTATACTGTGTATCGGCTGAAAGCTTTAGATTTAAGGGTAAAAATAAAATGTTTGGGTTTTATATGCATATGGTGTTTCAAATTTTCACCATGTACCTGTGTTAGAAACAAGATAAATTCTTACTTCCCACCTCCTCTAAAACCAATGAAATTTATTGTTTTGCTGTATGATCAGACTGTCAAGTTGTAAATTAAATTTCAAGACAGTACAGAAACCTGTAACATCCTACAGCAATCAGAAAAGAAAGTACAGCGACCTTCAGATCTCAGCATACTATTGTAGTTTTGTCCTATTGTTTCAAAAATTCCTTTGCACTTTTACCTCACATCACAGTCAAGGGTATATGACCGGATGCTGGTGACCCCAGAAAATTAGAGGTCAGGCTTCGCCCAATGATAACGCACGTGCAGGCGACAAAGAAAATGGAGTCTAAATAATGAAT